ACCAAGTGATGTAGTAGATAACTTGGGGGTTTCTACAGCCTTCAATTTTATCGTTGCTTTTAAAACCATTTCTATGGCTGGTTCCTTATGTCATCCATTTTGCCTGATGCACACATCATCACATGTTGAGTGATTTAATTTGTTTCAGTCAAATGATCCGGCAAGAAAATAAGTTTCATTTTCCAAATGCAATGTCTCTGTGAAGAAAAGGTACCATGCAGAAACATGATATTTAGGAAAGCTTTACTTTTTAATCAGATGTCCTGTCCTGTGCTGTTGCTTAACAGCCACAGATCAGAACTTGGAATGTTTGACTGGTTTCCTTGCCTACATACCAAGCTAACAGCAGATATGCCAGAGACTTTATGGAGCTTGTGAAATGTAAGTTGGGGCTCAGTTTAAATGAATCTCAGCATTAATTTATGTAGTTTTTGTAGATTATCTTGAGGGGAGGGAATGGATTATTATTTTTCAGGACCAGTAGGATCAATGCATGAAAGCTGAAGCTACAAAACAGAACTGTGATTTTACTGTTTCCTTGAAACTGAAACTGTTAGCAAGAATATAATTTGTTAATTTGAAGTGAATTGTAATGGATGAAAACCAAATTCATTTTTTTGCTGCATCCATGAAATTTATATAAAGCAGAGGAATTAAATAATATATTCATGTGTTTTCATATTTACCATTTTCTAAATGTTAATAAAGAAATAATTGTTATGAGGGTTGTGTTAAAGCTCTACGGTTCCCGTTCATGATATGGTGGCCCCACCTGTCTTCACATTGCTTTGCTTTGCTTTATTTTTGAGATTTTAATTAGCTGCCTAGAGCAATAATGATTTCTGCTACTTATAATGGCAAAAGCAATAACCCAAACAAAAAATTCCTTGAGACTGTCATAGCAGTACGTATAGTTATACAGTACGTCAAACATGTCCCAACACAGGGATTCAGAAGATAAATTCTGCCTCAGATTGTTCCAAAGCTGTTGTTTCAGCTTGCTCATTTGGAGGTGAGGTAAATGCTTACAAAGTATTTAATGTTTTCAAAGCAGACATAATATTTATAATTGCTGATGCTGTTCTGTCTCTAACTGCTTGCATTAATAGAAACTGGAGCAAGGTTTCCTAGATTCTGGAAATGACTCTTTTAAATCATACTGTTTTATTGTGTCAAATCTTGATGAGGCATGTAATTTATTTTTAACCTTTTTCTGCACACTCATACAAAGTGACCCTCACCTCTCAATACTGTAAATTGTCATTTAGTTGTTGAACGTTGATTATATTCTCTCTCTCTCTCTCTCTCTTTCTTTCCACACACACACACACACACACACTTTTTATGAAGTGACGTGCCTAGAAGCATTGCAGAAACTGTTGACAAGTTGATTGAAATAGAACTAGGAACCCTATAGCATTCCACATAACCCTTGCATCCAAATCCCATCAGCTTCAACCAGCGTGGTCAATAGTCAAGGATGATGGGAGATAATTTGAATATGACATAAATATTAAAACCAGCAGGGACATTTTCAGATGGCTGCTGCTTGTCAAAGTGTCTGGATGTTTCAAATCTTAGCTGACCTCCTCATTCAGTGAAGTCAATTCTGCTTTACAACCTACAGGCTGACTTAGCAGCAACTAAAGAATTCTGGTTACTCCCAAGTGAGTGTTTTTAAATTTGGTTGCCTAGAGAACTGCAGCAAGCAAAATAGTAGAGTCTTAGAAGGACTTACCATAAAACTATATGATCTGTGATTTCAGAATCACATGCATTACCTACTCCAAAGTCTTGAGTATGAATCCCAGAGAGCCTTCAGAAATTGCTGTGAACAGTAATTTAATTTGACAGAACAGAAAAGTAAAGTACAGAATAATCAGATTATCATATTAACTGAACTCAAATTAATTTAAATCCTGATCTTGTTCACTTTTGGAATATAGGTGGTATATGGCACTCAGAAGTCCACATCAACATTTACATCAAAAAAAGCATTTCTGGTGGTTCATTTAGTTACTTATTATCAAGAAAGTGATATAAATGCTTATGACTATACACCACCTATCCCTGCAGATTTAAGCAAAGTCTATAGGCAAGTCTCTGCACAATAATTTTTTCTTAATTTCCAGATATGTTTGTAGATGATAAAGGGACTTGAAGTTCTGACCACAGGTTTCAAAGGCGCTCTTGTGCTTATTCTTCAAAATTACTCAAAAATTCTATTATCCCAGGAAATCTTGAAGAGTCTCTGTTTGGGAAAAAAAACAAAAAACCTTATACTCTCGAAAGTCTGATGGCATATTCATCTAGGACAGGGGTGTCAAACTCAAGGCCCATAGGCTGGATCCAACCTGCGGGGTGCTTAGATCTGGCCTGTTGGGCTGCCCTGGAAACAATGAAGGAAACAGCTCCGTTTTTGCTGGCAGAGTGTTACAGGAGGCCATCGCAGCCAAAAACAGAGCTCGGGAGCCCGTTTTTACTGGCAGAGTGCCCTGGCCAGCACAGGTGTCTGACACAAGTGATGTCGAGCTGGCCATGCCCACCCTGGCCCCCTGAGGTTAAACACAACCCTGATGCAGTCCTCAATTAAATCAAGCTTGACACCCCTGATCTAGGATTTCAAAATTGAAGATATGTAGAGATGCAAGTTCAGAGAATTCCAAGAACCCAACAATGATAAACTTTATTTCGGAAAATAAGTGATAGGAAAGGCTGAGTTACTTAAGTCTATTTACAGCTAAGATCTGAAAGGTCTTTTTTGGATCATGGAGGACCTAACTGTACAAATCAAAGTCAGAAGAGAAGAGGTGCTAAACTGAGTAGGAAGGAATGTATTCATTCTGAAAGTATTAGTCAAATCATCATGTTTAATGAAGATATAGAACATGCATTTTCTAACTTGCTGAGGGCCTGTATATGGCATGGCTAGGGGCTCTCCCATACATTTCAAGGAAAGACTGTATTATCTTTTGCAAAATGAGAATATAATTATAATTAATTAAAATAGCTTACAGAAGGCTTGTGCAATAGAATAGTGGTGTTGGTAGTAACAGTGGGTTGTTAGTTTTGAAAAATTAAATTCATGTTATTTTTTTGTAAGAAGGGAGCTTAAAATGCCTGCCATGAAAGGAGAATGTTTTCTAAGGACATAATTATATCTCCTCAAATGGACATTTGAATCCATATATAATTTTATCATTATTTATTATTTGTAAAAGTTAATGGCCAACGATCTTACCACAGGATAACTCTAAATTGATTTTCAACTACACTTGATTCTTTACCACTACATAATGTGGTATTCCTACCAGTCTATTGATACTACTATTCTTCTTAAGATGAAGAATTTTTATCCCCTATTTTGCCTCCAAGAGTTGTCCTCTCAAATTCAGTGGTAAAAATATTTGTTTTTCAAATGCACAGTGTGTAAAAATGTTTGAAACCTTGAGGACAGCTCTTCCAGAAGTCAGTGTAGCTCTGTCCTTGAAGTGAAATAACTTTTTATCTTTCTACATGACTGTATGATGGCAGGACAAGAAAACTAAGACTTGTGAAATCACACATGCCCAGTGAGAGTATGGGAAAATGGGATGAGAGAGTGGGGTGGGGGGAGATATTTTGGGATGGATCTACACACCTTTTTAGAAGAATCCCCAGTACAAATAAACTTTCAATGGAAATTACCCATCCCAATTAAAAAGGTTCTGAAAAGTTCAGCTACATACCCTCTGATGAAATCTCTTTGTCACTTTGATCCCTCCCACCAAACTCTGAAGCCAAATGTATTCTACAGCCTTAAAATTGTTTCCTTTCTCTGCCCCGAGGGGTGCAAAATGAAAATAAAATATTATGCTTCCTAACAGCTGCATTTCTTTTGTATCAAACTATTATGGAGATAAAGAATGTGATTATCAGTTGTTGAGAACTCCTTCACATTTATAGCCCTTTTAATAGACTAGGAAGAGACTAGTTAACCTATGTTAATAATCAGTGGTGACTTTTCTCACTCTGCTATTGCAGAATATAGTAAATAGATAGAAAAGATAGTATAGTAAATTGAACATTATAGTAGTTTAATACTTTATTTTATTTTATCCAAAGCTCCTCTCCAAGAAAAATTAGTTGTAAAAATTGCAGGTTAAATTGTTTTAAATTGGCTCTGTAAATCTGATGGATTTACATCCATCTGCTTTTTGTTCTTCAAGTGATCTTTTTGGAGTGAAAAATAATCTTGCTCCATTTTTAAAGATGCATTTGGGAATATAGATCTATACATCCTCTAAAATACCTAGCTCAATAGTTTTGGTTAATGGGGTTGTTGTTTTTTTTGAGTCACTCCTGTTGATTCCTGGTGGCTTTCTGGTCAAGTCCCTACAATTTTCTTGGCAAGATTTCAGAAGTGCCTTTGCTTCTTTTCAAGGACTGAAAGAGAGTGATTGACCCAACTCACCCAACTGATTTCTTATCTAAGGCGGGACTAGAATGCTAAGTGCTTATACAATTCTCCAAATACAATCATCAAACATAGTTACACAAATGGTAACAATGGAAGAAAAATGTGCAACGTTGCTTCAGCCAAAATGTACTGAAAACTGTTGCCAGAGCCTATGCAAGTACATTTTGGCACATATTGTGTGTGTTCATAACATCTGCCTCACTTTTTGCATTTAGCTTTCTCTCCTCCATTGCACTATGATGTAAAATGAATTAGTAAGTTTGACAAAGCCCTCTGTTGGAAATAAAATAAAGCTTGGGAAATAAAAGTTATCATTTTGTTGCCGAGGGAAGAATCTATTTATCCCTATGTACAGATTGCTCTACAGAGACAAATAGATAGTTATCCAATAGTTAGCCTTGATAGGTAAAATATATGCATCAAGGTAAAGATTGTGATGCCCATTTCAGTCAAACAGACTAAGTGTAAATGAAAGATGTTGAAATGCATTTTTTCCTTTTGTGGTTGGCTGATTATTTTCTTTGTTTGTACAGAGGCTAACATGGCAGAAAGGAAGCAAAAATACCATCTGTCAGAGCTTTTAGATAATGTGGAAAAGGCTCACAAATCTGAGATTCGGGTCTATGTATCAGGCCACCTAAACCATAATAAGCTCTTCAAGCCCACTAAACCTGCAAAATACAACTATTGGAAGAGTGCCAAAAAAGCCACCTTATTGTCTGCCAAAAAGGATGCCCTTGGAGGATCCCAAGAAATGTTGGAAAAATTTAGCAGCAACAAAGCAGTTCCTCCAGTGCCCGTCCGTGCCAAATCTGCTTCCCCATTGGGTTATCGGTCCCCAGTCCACCTGGCCAGGTTTAGAGCACCAGTAAGCGTGTCACTCAATACAGCTGCTTTCAAACTACAAAAGAAGGAGGCTCCTGAGAAACCTGAAGATGAAGCCAGCACATTTCAAAAGCAGCTGATACGAGAAGAGCTGGACATTCCAGAAATGAAATTGTTGAAATTCAGACGACTCAAGAACAGCAGGCTTTGCGTCACAAAGGAGTTTGAAGATGAATACCGGTTCTTACCTTCCTATTTGGCTGGTGTGACTAAAAAGGACCAATATAACAAGTTCATGCAAGTTCAGAAGGAGTACATTGCCAAGCAGGATTTGCTGGAGAATGATTTCATTGGGAGCAAGTCAACAGAGCGCCATGAAAAAAAGTTGGCTCAAGTAAGTCAGTGGGTCCAATATTTGTGCATTGACATGTGAAAAGTCAGAGATAAACCACACTTTATGCCAGTGGTTTTATTTCTGTGCTGGGTTCAGTCCAGGTGCATGAACTGTAATTTTCAGCATCAGTAAGTAGTGATGATGGTTCAAAATCATTCTTATTGCTCTTCAGTGTTTTCTTTTAAAGATTTTAGAATTGGACTCAAAGACAAATTACGTCTGTTCAAACATAGATGCAAATTGTTCCTTCTTTGTGTGTATATGTGTATTTAATTACTAAAAATGGATTAAAACAAGCACATATCCCTGCTGGCTTTAAATGATCCTCCCACTCAAATTAAGGAAAGCCCTAATTGCACTTGATGGGTATGTTGCCAGGAGGTTCCAGATCTTAGAAGTCAAACTTGCCTCCCATGTCTACCACATTTTATAATGTGCAGGTAGGCAAAGGGTCTTGCAATCTTCAGGTCTGAGCTTCCTTCCAGGAAGGATAAGAAAAGTTAGAAAGTGACTTCAAATTCAGGTAGAATCCTTCCCAGAAACTTCCTATGGATATATATATATATTTCAGTACTATTTGAGGGCAGCACCCAGAAAGTCACTGAGTTTCTAGACCGTGCAGTCAAACAAAACAAAATGCACCACAATCTAAAGGCTGTTCTGAACTGTTGCCAAGGAAACATTGTGGATGTATCTCGGAAAGTATCAGGAATGAAATTCCATCTGAAGAAGAAAATTTATATATATTGGTCATAATAATTTTTTGACTTGGTTCATAGACTGCATGTAGAAATCAAGCCAAAACAATTAAGGTAACCTTGTAAATGGATTGTCTTTCAGGCACTTCGGAATATCTGTGACTGCAGACGTCCACATTTCTACCGATTACAGGCTATTGGTCAAGTGTTTGAAGATATCTGTAATAGTTCCTTGATATTTGGTGACATATTGAAGGAAGTGAAAGTAGGTGTTGTGCCTAGTATTTTAAAATGTCTTAGGTAACTCAGCCAACTTAATATAAAGATTAATAAAAGGTGATGTTCTATAAAACAATATTCTATAAAATTTCTAAAAATATAAAATATAAAATGTTCTATTAAAGGCCTAATTGGTTCTAGTGGTTAAGGTACTGGGTGACAAACCAGGAGATTATGAGTTCTGGTCTTGCCTTAGGTAGCTGAGTAACTCTGGGCCTGTCAATCTTTCTCAGCCCAACTCACCTAATAGAATTGTTGTGGGTAAAAGAGGAGAAGGGGGGAGTATTAGGTAAGTTTGCTGTTTTATTTATACAAATAATAAAGATGGGAGTAAATAGAGATGATAGAGACAGAAATGATAGAGATAGATAGATAAAGATAGGATAGATAGATAGATAGATAGATAGATAGATAGATAGACAGACAGACAGATAGACAGATAGACAGACAGATAGATAGATAGACAGGAGGAAAGTCCTGCAATGTCAGGAGTGAAATTAGATGCTCTTCAATGTGAAGAAAAGAAGGAGAAAGAAGAAAGTTATCATAGATTCTTGACATGTTTAGAGTCTGATTTGTAGCTTGGAATGATAGAAGAGGTGTGAATGTATGTATTTCCACCATAGATCTTTTGAAATACTGTTGGAATGTAATTTGATCATATAGATTTTGGCATGTTATTGCAGGAACCCGTGTCTAAACAGTTGTGATTTTCCCCCTTAAATTTCCATACTGAAATAGTATCATAATTTCAGCAGTTTCTGACAAACTATTTTGCTTGATAATACACAAATTACCACAAAAACGAAGCAGAAATCCTGTAAATACTTAAAGGAGTTACATACTGTACATACAGTACTGTACAGTGGTTACCTCTGAAAACATGCATAAAGTTTCTATCAATTAATTTATCACCAGTTAATTTAAAGGCAGAAATGTACAATATTTAATGTACGATATTTAAGTAATTCAGTGGGCAAATTTATTTTAGAATGGTGATAGTTTAATCACAGTTTGATTCCAGGGTGTCTTGCACTAAACTTGGATTTTGTTTACCTGTCTGGCAAACTCTTTTTGATTTGTCTTTTTTTGGCTATTTTCTACAGAATGAATATGAACTCTACATGGTGATCCTGTTGGATTCTTTGCCTGCAATGCAATACGGAGTAATGCTATTTTTTATGTAAATTTATGCCTACTGCAGGAACTCTTGTTGTAAAAGGATTACTTTTTATGGTTTTGTGGCAGTATGTAATGGATGACTTATTGCAGTGATGGCGAATCTTTTTGTTGTGGTGTGCCGAAAGCGTGTGCTTGCTGGCACCCACAATGCAACCCTGCCCCCCTGTGCATGCATGCACCCCACCCCACTGCCCCCTTACCTGCACTGCACATGTGTGTGCCTCCCAGCTGATTTTTGGCCCATTTGAGGCCTTTTCGGCCTCCCAGAGGGTTGAGCCTGCAGCCTTTAGAGGTTGAAAACCGGGCCTGTTTCATCACTTCCGGTTTTGTCAGAAGGCCCATTTTTCAGCCTCCCAGAGACTGCAGAGGCTTCCCTTGAGCCTCTGGGAGGCCAAAAAAGGCCCTAAATGGACCGGAAATCAGCTGGGAGGCGTGCGCATACGTAATGCAGGTAAGTTTGGCTGGGGCTTGCATGCCCACACAAATGGCTCTGTGTGCCACCTGTGCACGCGTGCCATAGGTTCACCATCACGGACTTATTGTCACAAATCATGTTCTAGATGTCCCTGGTTTTAGAGACCATATCACTCAAGCATTTCTCATTTTATTTTCATCTTTGATCTGGGATTTCTTTCTATGTCTAATAGATTCTGTTTATTCGTACGTTTGCCTTTCAGTGTCCAGCTGAAGAAGCTGAACAGTTTGCACACATTTAGACTATCATTAGTGAGGGAATCAATTTTGTTGGAGCTGCTCTCTTTAGAGGGACACTTTCATGCAAATTCAACAGGCTAATTGTTGGACTTTTTCCTTGAAATTTACTAAGTGGAGAAAACATTCTTCCTCACTGCTTAAAGAACAGTCCTCTCGTCTGCTTCATCTTTCAGTTTAGTTTATATCTTGCTCTGTTGTATTTCAAGATGTTCTGCATTTGTAACTAGTCTTGAAAAATGTGCAGCAGCCTTTTCTTTCTCTCTCTCTCTCTCTCTCTTTCTCTCTCACTCTCCATACATGCATACAGGCACAGCACAGCTAATGTATTTGTCTCCATAAATAATAACAGGTATTAGACTATCTTTCTTCCAGGCTCTTGTACACCTTCTACACTTTCTGTTAAGAAAACCCCTCTCAATGCTTCGTGCCATGACTATGTATGTGAGAGTTTCCATATAAGGGGAAAATGCTCCTTCATTCATTCATTCAGGCTTGATAGTCCTTTCACAGCATTGTAGACATTACACTTTTCAATGGTGCTCATTCATTTCATAGTGAACTATAGTGAAGGACCAGGGGAGACTTTATAGCAGTCTTCCAATATTTGAGGGGCTGCCACAGAGAGGAAGGGGTCAATCTACTTTCTAAAGTGCCTGTAGGCCGGACAAGAAATAAAGGATGGAAACTGAACAAGGAGACATTTAACCTGGAAATAAGGATAAACTTTCTGACAGTGAGAACAATCAGAAGTTGTGGGAGTGCCATCACTTGAGACCTTCAAGAAGAGATTGGACTGCCATTTGTCAGCAATGTTATAGGGTCTCCTGGTTGGACTAGATGACCTATAAGGTCCCTTCCAACTCTGATTATCTGTTATCTGTTATATTAAACACTCAAATTATGTACAACAAATGAGAACTTATTCTATCTGTGTGAAAATATAATGTAAACAATATTATTGTTTTCCATGACAAATGATCAAAAAAATTGTTATGTTTTTACATGATAGCTTTATATAAGCATTGTGCCATTTACATTCTTCCATCAAAATGAAAAGAAAGTTGTACTATGGTGTTGGGGAAGTAGTAATCAAGATGTCCTTGAGTAGCAAATCCCAAGATTCTTTCATTGACTTTACAGACAAAAAGTAAGGACTGGCCATCAGCATTATCTATAGTGTTGATCTATGGATTCTCCAGTTTGGTTGTAAACTAAATCTTAATTCTTGGTAGGAAAGATGTAAGATGTCCAATTAAGAAAAATGCATAAGTTGGCTTTGCTACAAGTATTAGCTTTCTTTATTATTTAAATGTTTCATTTGCTTTATTTCTTGGGGTGTGTGTGTGTGTAACAAAATAGACCTTGCAAGAGCAAGTCAAAGGCATGAAGAAAAGAATGGTGATGACTCATGAAGTAGAAGAGAGCAGACAGACAATACAGGACCTTGTGCAGAAAAGCAAACTGGCTTTAGCAAGAAATGAAGAGTGAGTTGTGTAAATGTATAACATTTATATTGGGAAAATGAGCAGCCAGAATTTTGAAATGGATTTTTCAAAATGGATCCTTCTAAAGATCTTCACATAATGCACAGTATTATTTTTACAGCCAAGAAAATATGCCTAATTTGTTGTTCAGAGTGATTTGTTATAAGTTACTCACTTATAACAATCTTTTTAGAAATCAATACATTTTATCGCTTTCCAGCTATGAATTGCACGGGACACTTTTCCTTCTTAAGCTGTATCCAATTCAGTGGGATTTAAATAGCCTGTGAGCAGATTACAGTAGGAGCCCTGTGTATAGTAGGAGCCCTGGTGGCATAGTGGTTAGAATGCAATATTGCAAGCTAACTCTGCCACAGCCTGAAGTTCAATCCTAACTCAAATCCTTCCAAGAGCAATAGGATGAGGTTGGTAAAATGAGGGCCCAGATGATTGGGAGCAATATGTTGACATTGTAAACCATTCAGAGAGTGCTGAAAAGCATTATGGAATGGTACATATACATTGATAAAAAAAATGAATACAAACTAAAAATAACACAAAAAGAAAAATAGAATATGTAGAAAGAAAGGAGAAAAAAGAGAAGACACATAAGAATATAATAAAGAAAAAGAAATGAAGTCATTAAAGAAGTAACTTCCCACTTTCTTACAATGTAAAAACAATTATTAGCAACTTATCATATTTTCTTAAAATACTACAAATGGTCTCTTCTTCCCATATCCTATCTCTTACCTAAACAAATCCTTAAAGCTTAATTGTTCAGCCTTGGTCAGCAAAAGTTCATTAAGAGTTACAAGAGATAACAATATATTTATTTATTTTAATATTTATTTTACCCTTGATCAAATAAACCAATTTTATATTCCTTCCTTTTATTTTACCAACCTTGATCTTTAGGTCCCTTCAAAGAATGCCCTAGAACTTGACTCTCCCCACATTGTCCTTTTTACAAAATTAATCAGAGCTTTAACAAGCTTCATTTGTAAACTTAATATAAGAAAATTATCCAGGCCACCCTCTTGGTTTGTTATTTGTATATCTCTTTTAATTATCGAGATGTCAACTGGTCTCTATTTTTAATGTCCAGTGCAGCATCTTTTCCCATATCATTCATTTCCCAAGATGCACATTTAATTCTATATATAAAAAAACAACCTCACATCAAAAAGGTATGCCCTTCATTCAGAACTTCTCATCACCTCATTCATTCTTTCATATTAAGCAATTAAGTCATGTGTTTAGATTTATGTTCATTCCTTTGCCATATGTATATTTGGACCAACTTATGCTCAAAGTGCATACTTTAAACAGACCTTTTTCTAAGCAGATAATGACAGTTTGCCATTGTCATTTGTATTTGGGTTTTTGAAGATATGGACTGTATACCCTTCCTTCCTTCCTTCCTTCCTTCCTTCCTTCCTTCCTTCCTTCCTTCCCTTCCAAGTTCAAATTATATCTTACACACAGCATTTGCCAGGCAGCCAAGGGCATCATGACATAAACGTATGCTTCTCAGCATGGTGTCATGGATGCCAATCTATCCATGCGCCCATCCTTTATTGTCTATCATACTCTATATTATCTTAATTCTTTTAAAGTTCAATGTGTGGCTGCTATATTTGAACATATTTATTTTCTAACAATGCCTCTGGACCCAGTCTATGGATTGAGGACATATTACAGGGACAAGTACTTCAAGCCTACTTTTTATGTTTGGAAGACACCTTTCTGCCCAGAAAAAAAAGGGGGAGAGTAATTGCATGCAAATCAGAGCCAATTCTTGCATTGTTAGCAGACTTAGTAATGGTATTTCCTAAAGTCAGCTCTTTCCCTTCTTCACTGGGTGGAAAAATCATGCAACTTACTTGGGTTTAATAAGGGGTTTCTCTCTCCCTTTTTTTCTATTTTAGACTTAGAAATAAATTGGAAATTGAACTTTGGATGAGCCAGACCAACAAAAGAGCAGCAGGTAAGGAATAAGACTGCATGGAATGAGGATCTGATGACACACACACACACATCTTGTCCTCCCCCCAACATGCATCACACTGACTGCCCTTGTCAGCAGGTCATATAATGTCTCCAGACAAACCCTTCAGTCAAAGTTCTTATCCTCTCGTTCTTGTCTGCACCTGCAGAAAAGGAAGAAGATGATAAAGTACAGGTAGAAGCAACTTCTATGGCCCAGGCTGAGCTGCTGACATCTCTGAGGTGCCAAATCATTATGAAATGGGAGGAAATTCAAGCAATTGAGAAAGAAATTAAAAACACAATGACTTTCAGTGGCATTATAAATATTAAACAAAAGACTGTGAAAGAATTAGAGGTAAGGCATGAAGTTTTTTTTTAATTTATTGGTTTTTAAGACAAACAGACAAACAAAACATAAAAACATCAAGCCATCATCCTTATATATACATACAGTGTGTCGGTTGGTTTACAAATTGTTTTGTGCTTCCATTTCGTAGTCTTAAATTACAATTACATTGTATATATTCTCATATTTTCAATCAAATATTAAATACATTAATATCATTGTTAATCAATCATTTGATTATACTTTTATTCATTCATGTTTTACGAAATAATCCATATTTTACTTAATTAGTTTTATGACAGTTCATATTATCATCTCAAATCTATCCTACAATCATTTTGTAGATATAATAAGAAAAGAATACATCTTTATATATTTATTATATTCTAAGAATCTACATATTTCATTACCATGTTTTATTGTCTAACCATTGATAGAATAGATCCCAAATTTTATAAAATTGTTTATCATCTTGTTCTCTGATTTCAAATGTCAATCTACTCATTTCAGCACATTCCAATATTTTCTTAATGATTTCCTCCTGTAATGGTATTTTTTCATTTTTCCAGTTTTTAGCAAATACAATCCTAGCCACTGTTAATACATTTACAATCAGGTATTTCAATTCTTTACTATATATTTCAGGTAAAATTCCCAATAAAAATATCTCTGGTTTCAAGTCTATATGCTTTTTTGTCATTTTTTCCAACCACGTGTGGATTTTAGTCCAATATTTTTTGGCATCCGCACAAGTCCACCACATATGGTAATATGAGCCAGGCATCTGATGACATTTCCAACATTTTTCAGATTTATTCTTGAACATTCTTGCTATTCTTGTTGGGGGAAAATGCCACCTGTAAAACATCTTATACAAATTTTCTTTATATGCTGTTGACATTGTCATTTTATAATTTTGAGACCACAGTTTTTGCCATTTCTCTAGATCAATCCCATATCCAAAATTCTTCCCCGAAGCAATCATAGTTTCTTTAACTTGTTCTTCTCCTAGTTTAATTTCTAATAAATATCCAAACAATTTTTAATCACCTTTTAATCAGTACCTGTCAAAATCTTATCTAAGTCAGTCAGTTTATCATAGAAACCTTCTGTTTTAGAATCTTTGTCATACCTTGAATGTATTTGCGCATATGAAAACCAATTCATCTTTATACCTTGTTCCTCTAATTTTTGCATAGATTTAAGTTCACCCTTTTCATTCAATATTTCACCATATCTAACTGTTTGTTCCTTTTTATATATTATAGGATAAGAAAATGCTTCAATAGTCAATAGCCAGACTCGAATTTTCAAATAACATTGCCTTTTAGTCTTCTCCCAGTTTAACCACAGAGACTCCCGTATATAATGTCTTCTAAAATACCCCTGTGTTTTAGTTCCTTTATACCATAAAAAAGCCTGCCACCCCAACAACAGATCATGTCCTTCTAATGTCAACAATCTAGTATTTCTTAATGTTATCCATTCCTTAACTCACATCAAATTTGTAGCTTGGTAATACAACTCTCAATTAGGCAAACCAAATCCTCCTCTTATTCTGGCATCTTGCAAAAGTTTTAACTTTACTCTCGTTTTCTTACCTTGCCATATATATTTCAACACAATTTTATTTAAATCTTCAAAATAATCTTTTCCAAGCCTAACTGGAATTGTTTGGAACAAATATAAAATTCTGGGTAGTATATTCATCTTAATTGTTGATATTCTCCCTATTAATGACAGTTGTAAACTTTCCCATTTCACCAAATCTAGCGCTATCTGCTGCTTAAGTTTGATATAATTATTCTCTTTTAGTGTACTACATCTTGCTGTCAAATGTATCCCCAAGTACTTGATCTTATTCGTGACCTGAATTTTCAATACATCCGCCAGTTCTTCCTTTTGTCTTGATAGCATATTCTTTGTCAAGATATTTGTTTTATTTTCAAACCAGCCATTTTTCCATATACCTCTATCTTTTCTATCAATTTTGATGCTGTTTCTAATGGGTCTTCTAAAATGAAAACCAGATCATCTGTGAATGCTTGCAACTTAAATTCTTCCTTTTTAATTTTCATCCCTTTTATATCCTTTTCTTCTCTAATATTTCTGTTAAGCACTTCCAAGGTTAACACAAACAACAAAGGTGATAGCGGGCACCCTTGTCTTGTTCCTTTTCTTATATCAATAGAGTCTGTCAGTTCTCCCTCCATCATTACCTTTGCCATTTGGTTATGATATATAGCTTCTTTTCTAAAAAATTTTTTTATTAACTTTCAATAAACAAACATACACAAACAAAACACAAAACATGAAAACATAAAACTTCTTTTTGGAAAGCGGCTTAATCCCGGGTTACATCTTTTTGTACATTCATAAATTCGAATTTGTGCTCACTTTATATACCATTTCATATCTTATTTACCAGTCTACATTTTTCTATATAGCTTCTCCCCTCTTTTCACTCTCTTAATTCTGCTTTATTTATTTCATCTCAATGTAGATCATTATGCTTATATCTTTTGTCTGTTCTGTTTCAATTATTATCTTTTCTCATTAATACAAAATTTCTCCTGTACTCACTGATTGAAGTATGACGCCTTTATATCTTTCCCCTAAATTTAACACTTAAAATAATATATAATTTTCATTTGGATTCTGCTTAGTACATTCTAAAGCTACATACTATATTTTAAAATAAGAAAAAATAATAAATTTATAATATAATTAAAACAATAATCCATAACAAATTAAACTCTATCGTTAAATCTTAAACATTTTACACATTCCTTTTAATATTTTATCCCATTTTATAATCATATAATGTTCCAGTTTTCTAACATTATTTCAAATACAAATACAACAATACAATCTTATGTACTTTTGCAGAATCTCTTTTTTAATTATATTTTTACCCATTATCTCTGAAAAAATCCTGTTTCTTTACATCTTGTTTCAAACCTTTGTAACCTCTCTCCCTTTTCCCTTCCTTTCTTCTCCAATCTAGCCTTTTTACCCCCTTGTCTCTTGATCTCCACCCTCTTCTGTGTTCCTCTTTTCTGTTGCTTTCTAACATTGTATTGATTTTTCACCTTATTTTTCTCTTTTTTGGTTGTTTTTTTAGGTCTTAAATTCTCCATTCCCTTTCCCCTCTTTCCCTTTTCTTCCCCAGCTAGAGTTGCTTGTTCGTTAAAGATGGCTTCTTCTTCATCCCAATCTTCTTGTTGTTCTTGTAGTTTCTGATAGGTAGAAATCGCCATTTCTAAGAAATGGAAAACAGAGCCAGAAGAGCCCTTCCCTTCTTGTTCCTCTTCTTTTAACTTTTTGAATTCCATTTTCAGTTCATCAACAAGTAATGCCATTGTGGAAAGAAAAATTTTTTTTTTAAACAACCCAAATGTTTTTAGTCTTTCAAATAATAATTTCCAAAAGTCCCAAAGTCACCAAGCAATCCAAATACACACAGACTGTTTCATTTAGCACTTTCTTCTTTTTACACTTTCTCTTCCTGGGGTTACAGTTCAGTTGCAAAGTTCCAATTTAAAATGTATCTTTTAGAAGTCTTATTACAATTTAGCTCCAATCTTATAAATTCCAAGCAGCCTCCTCCATCAAAATCTTAATATTAATTCTTTTCCTCTCCCTTCCCACTTATAACGAAGAAAGTCCCCCCCCCCAATGTTCAGAAATCTTTATTGTCCCCTTGGCTTTACTTTTCAGTTTAATTACCTGCTGATGCCAAAGCGGGTTTTTCCGATTTCTCATTCAACAGCTGTCACCGTAAGGAAGGAGAGTGAGAAAAAACAAACTTTCCCTTTTAACTTTCATTCGCCACTTTTTCCAATCTTCTTTGGGAGCCATGTAACTTTAATGAAATTCAAATTCCAGGGTATTTAAATGCTACTTGTTATCCCGGTCAGCCAGAACTTTCACTTTCTCAACTTCCTCCTGCACATTCTTATCCAGATGAAAGCTTCTTTGTGGCGGCCATTGCTGACCGCCGCTCCACCGCTTTCAGAAAAGGGAGTTAAGCCAGCTGAGGAGGGGGGTTGCGATTCCCCCGGACCCCTGCCGGATCTCCCCTATCTTCAGTTACCTCTACGGGGTAACTATTAGCCCCCAAATCCAGCTGGATCAGGGGCACTCCAGCGGCGAGCGCAGCAGAAACCGCGCACGATCGTGGATTCCTGCCGCTGCCAAAGCCTTGCAAACCGGAAGCGATATATAGCTTCTATTGCTTGAATAAATTTTTACCAAAGCCCATCTGTTCCAGCTGTAATAACATGAATCGCCAATTCACATTATCAAATGCCTTCTGCGCATCTAAAAATATCAAAGCCATTTGTTTTTCAGGGTATGCCTTGTAGTATTCCAAAGTGTCCAAGATTACTCTCATATTGTTGTAAACAAGCATCTAAACTAGGGAATTGTGGGTAACTTCACAAAATCTCTGACTTCTTAGGAAAAGGCTCAGATAATTATTTTTTAAAGCACAAGCTATGGTGAGCCTAAGGTGGAACTAGATACCACATCATCCAATTTCTGCTGCCTTAAACGCACTCTACCAAAGTGCTCCCTTATTGAAGAGAATAGCACTGTTATTTTTATTCTTAGACTCTAATATAATATTAAACTATATTTGATAAAAGATTGATAATTATTTACTGACGAAAATATATAGTGAGATAATTCAGAAATCCTGTGTTCATGGCTTTTGCAGGCAGAAGCAAGCAAACTCGAGGCCTCAAACAAGTTTCTAAAACTACAAATAAGGGTAAGTTTACAGAGTGGTACTTCAGAGGTCTTGACCTTGCAAAAATAGATACGACCTATTTGGGGCCTGATTTATAGGTGAAGTTGAGAAGATCTTTCCAGAAAGTAACAACAGAATCTGCTCTGATTGAAAAGAAACAGTATGCAAAGATGATGGCATCACAGTAATGGAATAGTGGAAGTATAATATGAAGCTGCCCCTCTGAATTGGTCATTCTTATAGATTGCCCTAAGGTCATTTGGAGCTACTGTTGGCAATTTTAGACCATGATGCACTTTGGGGATTGTTAGGTTCCAGCTTTAGGTTACAGGAATTCACTGGTGAAAGCAACTATGTTTGGAAGAGTTTGCTGTAAAAGGAAAGCAGTCTGTGGCTGGACATCATCACTTCTGACTCCAGCCAGAGCACAGAAAAACTTCAAGAAGGAGTACAAGATTGGAAGATATGGAGAGACACCCATTTGTCCTCCTTTCCAATTGTCCATGTCCTTCTTTGCTTGTTTAAATATCTGGTAACCCTGTTCATGGATAATATCAGTCTTTGATATTGATAACAATATCAGTCTTTGATAACAGTCTTTGATATTGATAACAATATCAGTCTTTGAATCCTGAAGACTGTGGTTGTCATTGCTGCTCATGTCTTTTAGGAAATATATGTCGTCTTTGTTGCTCATGTCTTTTAGGAAATGTGGAGTCCACTTTGAACATGCCTAGATTCCAGATGAGTGTGAAACAGGATCAAAACTGGCTTGATTTATTTATTTAGTGTATGGTGCATGTTTACCCAGGATCACTGAGGTGGCTGCCTGCCTCTGTGAAAGGAATTTTTTGGTGCAGTGTTATCTTTACCTGTAAGATGCCTGAATGCTGGTAGACATTTGTGGGAGGCTCCTTTCCTCTCCTTGCATGGTTTATTCGCTCACGGGAATCGAACCGCTGAGCTGCTGACCTCAGTAGTGTGCAAGCCCAGTGTCTTATCACTGAGTCACCGCAGCCCCCCCCCCCCACTGGCTTGATGAGATGAGAGGGAAGGGAGGGGAAAAAATTAGAGTTGAAGACAAGTCCTCGGAAACAAATTGTTCCCAAACTTCCTTTTTGCACATTACTAAATTTGCTTTGACGTGATGGAAATAAACTGGTATGCAGTGAAGGAAAAAGAGTAGTTCAGTTTTTTTATTTCTATCTGAGAGGGATTGGATTGAGAAGGAGTGGCCCAAAGTCACCTAGCTGTTTCATGGCTAAGGCAGGACTAGAACTCACAATCTGCCACTTTCTAGCCTGGTGCCTTAACCACAAAACCAACAGACTTTCTCTTTTTTAATAGTCTGAGAATAAATATGGCCTGTCACCAACATTTATTTACTTTTCACATTTCTAAACCACCCATCTCCCTCAAAGAGGGACTCAATAAAACATCAAAAATATAAAAACAGTATATTAAACATTAAAATGCTAGAATTAAAATTCAAGAATACGTTTATTTTGCCCTGCAGGTTATTATGGGCATCCTAGATATAAGATCTGGGGATAAACAGGTCTGCTTTCTGCTGCCTGCCTGCTCTTCACTAACACTGCATATTTTTTTTACTGTATTTCCAATGGTGGTTGCAAGGAGTCTGAAGGGTACTAAGAATGGCACCTGTTAGGCATGACTAAAGATGCCTGAGATAATAAATATGATGCGTTTTATAGCTTTGTAATGCAAAATGTAATAATCAGATCTTGAACTGTTTTGTGTGACAGGAGGCTGAATATAATATCAGAGCAGCACTAAGAAGGCAGAAGTTTAATAAAACATACCAGGGGTAAGTCTGAAGGTTTTAATGGAAGCCAGATAAGGTTTAAATTGTATTGGAATTTATTGGCCATCCTTGGCATTTACCCCTATTTCCAGAGCTAACAATTGGATCCATGTAATTTGGAACAAACAGTAGAAAACAGTCCTGCATATATCATGATGACATTTTCTTTATCTCTGCTTAAACAAGAGGTTGTGCTCATCGGAAATAGAATGAAGCCTTTTCCATATGAAAATACTGCTTCCAAAACAATATTTATTATTTTTACACCCCCCACGCCCCCATACCACAGGTCCTTTTTCACCATATAATTTAAAAATTAGTACTAATTTACAGAAGTAAGTGCCTTGCTGGCTCTTGGCTACAGGCAAGAAACTAAGGTTATGTAGAATCAAACATTTGGAGGGCACAAGATTGTCTTCCCCTGTTATACACATATAAGTACTCAATGGATTTTTTATTAAGCAGATGTGCCTAGGATGATGGTAGTGGTGTTACTTACATTCTAAATAACCACATTGCTATGTATATACTCAAGGCAGGGCTGTAATGATCTCACCACTTAGTGCTACGAAGACTAAACTTGATTATGAAAAATCATATGAACTAATATGGACTTTTGAAAGTTTTTATATGGTTTAATATCCACGCTTATAAATTGTTCAGCAATAGTTCTATGACAGTTTTTGATAAATGATGTGAAGCTCTGATGATGAGTTGATGATACATCACCAACAGTGCTTTGAACATGAACTAATTCCCATTGGTAATTACTAATTAACACAGGAATAATTATTAATGACAAATTTCCATTAGTAGTTATTATTGCTCAGCCAATGGAAGGATTTTCCAGGGTGAAGAAAAACATATGTTATTGTCCATTGTACCATGGAAAGAGACATACATATAAAAACAAGAGGAAGCCTAAGAGGATAGGGTCAGCTTGCATTCCTGCAAGAAGAATGAAAATAATTACGATGAGAATGCAAAACCAAGCTACTTTATCCATTAAAGATATGCCATGTTAGTTTAAAACTTCAGAACTATTGCTATCCAAAAATTATTAAAAGTTATAATCAAGTCATTTAGTTACAGGTAATTAGTCTTGTAGAGCCTGCTAATAATTACAACTAATTAGCCCTGAGACAATTCAAGAAATGCCCTTATTAAAGGTTTTTTAAAAATGCACTAAACTTCTAAGAGAATGTTCTGGTTTGCTCCCAGTAAAGTACAAATTTGCATTGTTTTAAATAAAATGAAGAGGTGGGAACATTTGCACAAGATAGCTCATACGTGAGAATGCTCTCAAATTTTGTTCTCCTTATATCGTGATGAATGTTTCAGAAGTTTGTGAAGTATTTGTGAAGCTTCAGCAGTATTTCTCAGCAACTTTCAGACCTGTGGGCTTCCAACTCCCAGTATCTATTAGCTAGCAGGCTGGCAGAAGAATTCTGGAAGTTGGAGTCCACACATTTTAAAGATATCAAGGTTGAGAAACACTGCTGTACCCCAGGGGTCTCCAACCTTGGCAATGCTGGCTGAGGAATTCTGGAAGTTGAAGTCCACAAGTCTTAAAGTTGCCAAGGTTGGAGACCCCTGCTCCTCACTAACAGATGAGTAACTCTGAAAGCCAGGTAGAAGGGAGACTCCACATCCATCTTGGAAGCAGAACTATGGTTAGTGTCCTGTTGTATGTAGTCAGAATTGCCATGTCAGTTAGCCCTGGTTGTTCTTCAGTGTCTTTGAATGATATTAATGACCAGCAGGAAAGAAATTAACAGTGCATCTATTCTACCCCAAAGCTACAATTTCTTAAGCGCTATTACAATTTTCACTGACTGGAGCACACAATATAAGGCTCATTCCTTCTGAGTTCTGAAATACTCAACGGTTTTATGGTTTTTCTCCAAGTGTCTTAAATATATTTATTTTTTAATATGGACTATATTGGGATTTTTAAAATTTTACTTTCTGGATCAAACATACAAAACATATGACTAAAATATAGGAAGAACAGTTGCAGGAACTGGGCATGGGTAGTCTAGTGAAGAGAAGGACCAGGGGTGACAGGATAGCAACATTCCAATAATTGAGGGGCTGTGACAGAGAGGAAGGTGTCAAGCTATTTTACAAAGCATCTGAAGGCCAAACAAGGAAATGGATGTAAACTGATCAAGGAGAGGTTCAACCTAGAAATAAGGAGAAATTTTCTGACAGTGAGAACAATCAATCAATGGAACAGCTTGCCTTCAGAGGTTGTGAGTGCTTCATCACTGGAGGCTTTCAAGAAGAGACTGGACTGCCACTTGTCGAAAATGTTATAGGGTCTCCTGCTTGAGTAGGGGTTTGGATTAGATGACCTACAAGGTCCCTTCCAACTCTGTTATTCTGTTATTCAAGATCGTTCCAAATGGTGAATGAAAAATCTGCATAAAAATGAAATACAATCAAATAAAATAATGAAATATTATAACATTGTAAATGGCAAAGTCCACACAGGGAAAAGCAAGTAAAAGAGAGTGAATGTATTCACAATGAAACAAACATTTTTTTTCTATATTTTTCCCATGTGTTGATTCCCCCTACCCAATTTGCTGTCTGTCAAATCCCACTTTTTCCGAACTTCAGACTACCAAACTTAATTTGGATTTAAGAAAAATCAGTGATAGCTAAGGAAAGGGTGAATGCTTGTACAGAATTCACTTACATAGACTATGACTAAAAACCTGTATCTTCCCTTGAACCATTTAGAATAGATTTCACTGCAGGAAGATGTCTACTAAGAAATAAAGGCTTGTCAACAGGAATCTGCAGTAAATAAAAATAATGGCAAACCATCAAACCAAGTATTTTTAATTATTTCTGTAATATGCCATCTTCATTGGAATATCAGTCATGATTTAATTAGTGTTTAATTATTAATCATTTTGAAGAGAAAAGACAGTGGGTGGTATTTTTCAGATAAAGGTAAAGGTTCCCTTCACATATACGTGCTAGTCGTTTTCCGGCTCTAGGGGTGGTGCTCATCTCTGTTACAAAGTCGAAGAGCCAGTGCTGTCCGAAGACGTCTCCGTGGTCATGTGGGTGGCATGACTAAAAGCGAAGGCGCACAGAACGCTGTTACCTTCTCACCAAAGTGGTCCCTATTTTTCTACTTGCATTTTTACATGCTTTCGAACTGCTAGGTTGGCAGAAGCTGGGACAAGTAACGGGAGCTCCACTCCATTATGTGGTGCTAGGGATTCGAACCACCAAACTGCTGACCTTTCTGATCAACAAGCTCAGTATCTTATCCACTGAGCCACCGCGTCCCTTATTTTTCAGATATGTGGATATAAAGAAAGGGGAATAATGGAATCGCTAACTATGCCAGACTGATTCTTTTCTGATGTAGCCATATTGCTTGGATGATAACACCGCTTCCATCAGAAGAGAAACCAATTGGGGAAGATAACTGTCAAATACTTCCAATAATAAGCATTAGTTATAAGTATGCCTTTCCCTTACTGTATTGCTCTTATTTGTAGGCATTTGTGGGAGTTAGTGAAGGACTTCTTGCAACCTCCTGGAGAAGATATTCTGCGAAGCACATTTGGATTATTTTCTCAGACATCCTTACATCTTTGATTTAATTTGTAAGGCACAAATGCTCCTATGGAAAAATGGATGGTGTAAGAACTGCATTAAACCATGCTATTCACATAAAACAAAGAGCAAGTGGGAAGATGGCCAGAAGATAGAAATCTGAGATCTCTACCTATCAAGAGGTCACTAAATGAAGAAAGCTGCCATGGAATTTTTGTTGCATTCTACCCTAGAAATAGAGTGATTGCTAGTAACAGTTCTGACTGCGATTCTACCATCCTATTTGGTTTAATGATTGCTCATGTATGTTCGCCATTGTCATAAATACTTGAAAAGTATAAATATTTCTCTTTAAGAAGTCACATGACTGACAGACCAAAACTATGAACTTTACTGAGACTTTTCAACATTTTTCAATGGAGGCAATAAGAAAGAAAATGCAATAGTCAGTGTTAAGAATTCATCCTCCTCCTTCTTCCGCTGTTCTTAATACTTTTCACCTGTTTGTTGATTGTGTAATTGTCGTTTCATAATGTGGTACATATTCTTGCAGTAGATGTTTCCAATAATTATCTATTCAATTGCATTTGTGTGGGTTAGTGTTTGTTAGATTTATTATGAGCAATCTTGATTTATGGAAATGTATATATAGAATATATAATTGGAGTTAGCATACAATTATACACTATGCACTTAATCTTTCAACAGGTGCAGAGAACCATTGTATTAATAATCCTAGTAGTATTATTGGGAAAAGGGTATTGTCAGAAAAATGAAGTTCTTTAGTTCACTGGTAGGGCCTATAGCCATATATGTTCCATCTTACTTTTGCAATCCTTAGAGGCCCTTCACTTTTCCAGAATGAGCATGGCTAAAACCGTAGTTATTCGAGGAGGTTAAGAGTTTCAGTCTGTTCCCAAAAGAGCCTTCAATTCTATCCCAATCAGCCTGCTTTTTCCACGGAGGAGTAAAAGCCCATTAAATCTACCCAGTCCCCTTCACCAAAAAATGAAAAATTGGGCTTTGCTTATTTCAATTATGTTCTGATAGCACCAGCCATAGAGGCCCTTGAAGGCTACATAATTTCTTCTTTAAAAATTGTCCCTCTTACTAAAGGAAATTCCCCATTGTTGGTTCACTTCAAAAGCAGCTTCTGTCCTTCAGAACCTTTTGCTCCAATTTAATTTGAGTTAATAACTCCAAAGATTGCAGCAGCAATGAGTTATTTGTGTCCACATGTAACCCTAATGAAAAAAACAACAGTATGAAATATGGAGAAAGCAATAACCATTACTAAATTTGATCTCTTGCATTGTTAGTGCTATCATTTGGGGGGGGGCATTTTTTGGGGGGTTTGTAGGGCTGTCCTTTCAATAAGGTTGAAGTTTTCTCAGTGACAACTCTTTGATATACAGACAATAACAATATAAAGATTAATTTTCTGTGTTACAATCTAGTTGTAGCTCATGGTACTGAATATGCAGATTATAACTCTGATATGCTAAGTTGGCTAAGATTTGAACAGTGCTGATAGATTTTCCATGAATAGTGGGTGGGTGGGGAATTAGTGAGAAGTACTGGAAATGACAGGTCTTCCAAGAAATCATAGAGGAAAAAAGGTATGAGACAAGCAATTTACAGTTTATTTCAGATTAGCTGCTTCCTTAGGAATCAGTTCTTTGTTGGTGATTATTTCCATAGGTTTACTCATGAAACATTTTGATTTCTAGTATCATTACAGTTCTGTTGTTATGTAGGCTAAAATGACTTCAATGCAAAAAGCATTTCATATATAAGGAATGTAATTCAGTTTATTGAGGAGGACTGGCTTACTGATTCCTTCTGCAAAACTCCATTTGGCTGCTGTAGGTGAGGATTAATCAGTTAATCAATCAATCACATAATTCTTCAGAAAGAAGGAAAACCACAAGGAATTTCTTGATTACTTAGAGGCTCTGATGCAATGATAGCAAAGTAGGTGCCAGTAGGATAAACCTCAGAGATCACAAGGGAGAACTCAGACTGTACTACGACTATCTGAACTCTTCATTTCACAGTTGAAAACACTTTAAAATTAACATTACTCCCCACCAGTGCTCTGGACTAACCAATGTTTATCTGCTCTTATGGGTGCCCTGGCAAGGTGGCATCTTGACGATAAGCAATTCTACTTACCAACATTTCTACTTGCAATTCAATCTGTGGAAGAAGCACACGCACAGCTGACCCTTGTATATCATAGATTCAAACTCTTTGAAGACCAGTGCAAAGCTCAGAAGACTGAAACAATATGTTATTGTGCACTATCTCTCCAACAACCTTAAAAATAGTTGGAATTGTCTCCCAAGGCTGTGGGGGATCCAGGGACAAAGGAGCCGAGGATTTTGTTCCAAGATTCCAACTATCTCCAAGGAATACCGTATTTGCCGGCGTATAAGACGACTTTTTTGCCCCGAAAAACATGCCTCCAAGTGGGGGGGGTCGTCTTATACGCCGGTATATCCACTGCCGGCTTTCGGAGGCTTGTTGGACGCAGCGAAGGCGCCTCTGGCTTCCTGGATCCCCTGCGTCGCTTCCGCTTCATCCCGCTCGCCTCGCTCCGCCCGAGGCTGCAGCCTTACTGCTCTTCCCACGGCCCCTGGCACTCTGCCCTGCCGCTGCAGCCCCGGGGATTTCTGGAGGGCGTTTCCGGTGGTGGTGGGGGGTCGTCTTATACGCCGGGTCGTCTTATACGCCGGCAAATACGGTAGGTAACTTCTCTGCTTAGACCTTGCATTAAAGTTTAATTTATTTTGTCTGTCTGTGTTTGTAGCCTTATTGACCCTCATTCTTCCTACGTTCTGTGTAACTTCAAACTGTTTTCCAATTTTTAAATTCTTCATATTAACTTAGCTGAAAATTGATCTCATTGATTATAGCAAGCCAGAACCATCTCATAAAATGCCTGGAATGCTATGTGTTTTGTATAAATGAAGATTCATATATATATAGATATGTATGTGTATATATATTGAGTTTATCCCTTGTGTGTGTATGTGTGTGTGTGTGTGTGTGTGTGTGAGAGAGAGAGAGAGAGAGAGAGGGAGGGAGGGAGGGAGGGAGAGAGAGAGGGAGAGGGAGAGGGAGAGATGTATGTCTCTTTCGAATTGGTTTTTCTCTCAATGGAGGAAAGAAATGCTGAAATGTTTATTTTCTGTCTTCTGCACAGTAGTGGATTTTTAAGCTGTGCAGATGCAGATAGATAAACTCAACAAGACGTCCATAACAAAGTACATTTATTGGTTCATCAGGTATCCTCATAACTCACATTAGTGATGAAGTTCTTCTTTAATTACCAATCCTTTGCTTATCTGCCTTGTATTAAAAGATGGTTATCTCCTAACCCATCTCATAGCGATAGAAAGCAGCTGCCATGAATTAGGAAGTTCAGGCAAAAGTGAGGAAAAACTCCCCCAACCCATCAAGGATCAATTTAGTGACCAATCCCATAGACTGGCTGGGACAGCACAGTTTAGCTATAGAGCTGTATGCTGCAAGATTCAGAAGTTGAATTACAGAAATTTTATTTTCCCCAGTTTCATCTCCCTTTCGTCAGAAGAGCAACATGGTTTATGGAAGCCCTATCTGTCACACAGTCTAATTTAAATCTAATTTGGTACTTAAACTCTTGCTTTATGAATAAAATGTGAGAACGAAAATGAAACAAATAATATAAGAATATACTATTAAAGCAATGTATAAAATGACTGTCAGTTAATAAAGAATGATTGCTGGCAATACATGGCAAAGCTAACAGAAGCTGTTACCAGTTTTCAAATATATAGTGTAAGGTACAGTTTGGATTTGGTTTACACTTGTTTTATGTCTCCTGTTAAAATATTTTGTCTGCAGCAAAATGCTTGATTACAAGAGAGTTTTCTGAGAAATCCTACCAAACAATCATCACAATTGTAAAATTATTTTTTTTATTTCATAAATGTCATATTGTTCATGGTTAGATGAGGGCTATGTAGAGAAAGGTATATTTTGTAGCTTTAATTGCTTTTTCAGACCAAGAGACCACCACGTACAAAGACAGATGTTCCATTCTTTTATTTTCACCTTTTCCCCCTCAGTTGGCCTCAGACTTCAAAGTACATCTCCAAAGAGTCATCTTCTCCACAGAAAACATCTGTGATTAGTTTTCTGTCAGACCATTTTGTGAACTTTGATTGCCACCGACTTGTGCTGTTCTTCTTTCTCAGTTGATTGTTCCTTATCTGAAGAGAGGAGATTCTATATGGATTTCTTGAAGCAATACATTTTTTGGTAGCGTAATCCTGTTTGAGCACTGCTAATAGCTGAAAGACAGAGAGTCAACATAGATTCTTGCAGCAATCCGTTATATGGTTATTGCTCTTTGCAATTGGATCAGAATTCCATAGGTCTGTTCATTGCTGCAGTGTCCTTAAAGCCTGAGTGTAACTCAGATTCCATTTGTTCCAGAACTCAGTAGGCCTTAGTATTCCATGTTCCATCCCTGGATTCAGAATGTAGATTACATATATTTTGAAAGAATTCAAAGTAAGATGCAAGATTTCTATCAGCTGCCTAAAAAATATGGAGGAGTATCTTACTACCAATAATTTGGTCACTTCCAGACCTTCCTTGATTTTATATATTAGTTGATACAGCTACTGTTTCTCTATAATTGAAGGAATAAAACAAATACTATTTTCAATGCATCAAAGGTACACTTAAAATTGAAGAAGTCTTCTTTTTGTTTTGTATAGATACCAAATAAAAAATATACCCAAATATATGAAAATCTACAAGGCAGTGATCCTCTTTCAATTTCAGTTTCTGGCATTCAGGACAGATAGCTGCAACAAAAAGGTCGGCTGACAAATGCCATACTGGCCTAATAAAGAACATTTTAATAAAAAGACTATCTCTCTCCGTTTAAGAATTTTTTCCCCCAGTGACGTGAAGTGATTGTGCATGAACATGCATATAGAGGCATCTGGAAATTGCTGCATGACTTTAGAAAAAGGTGTGGCTGC